GGTGGCGTGGCCTCGCGTTAGGTTTAAAATTTACAGCACATGTGGCAAATCTGGTCCCCGTGCCCTACTATTATTCACGGAGAATGCTCGCGACACGCGTCTCCCGCTATGGTAGTGCGGTGCATAGTTTTCGCTGTCATCCTATACTGTACTCTTTACAGCGAATCTGTGCGACTGTGCGCCCCGCCAGCCCGATCAATTGCAAATAATACTACAGTGTTCACTTCTTGCTTTCGAAAATTTCGGTCGGGGGAAGCGATTTCGGGTCTTCTTCGGGATCCTGCAATCTAAGGGTGCAAGTTGGAAGCATAAGGCATAAGTCTCGCGTTTTCGAAACGTCCCTCTGCTCTTGCAGCTGCCGTGATTTGGCGGACGCGATTCCGCGGTGCTCCCAATCCTGAATCCCGGCAGTGCATGGGGCAAGGCATTCGGGGCATGGTGCTCAATGCGCCAGTGCTTGGGGGAAAAAAATCCTAGTGTTACCCTGATCTTTTGGGGGTCTCCTTGTGGTTTTTTGTGTTGTCTCTCGGTCTCCTGGTCGTGTTTGTGTGGTCTCCCAGTGGTCTTCGCCTGGGGCTTCTGATGCCTTCTGGTCTTCTGGTCGTCCTTGTCAGAGGGGCCCCCAGGCCCTGCTGCAGAGACCTGAGCCTCAGAGCTTCGCCTGAAAAGGCCTCCAGGAGCTCTGCCGCTGCCGCTGCCGCGCGGTTACTTCATTTGCGTTCGGAGTCGGGCTCTCGGGGAGTCTCTGCCTTTCATTCATCCGCTCTCTCTCTCTCTTCTTTCTTGGCCTTCGCCTCGGCTCGGAGCCGGACTTTAGAGGCTGGCACATGGTGAGGAAGGTCGCACAACACCTGTTAGACAAACACGACAAACAAAGACACACGTGATCTGTGTGCTTCCCACAATTGCCGCCTGTCTGCAAACTTCGCCGCGGGCGATCGCCCTGCAAAGTAGGCGTCATGCATGAAGGAAAGACCTTGGCCGGGTCAGAAAGCGTAAGCAGACACCTTGCCTGTTATTGCGTGGAAATCACGAGTTCAAGGTGTAGCATACGGAGCTTCGGACGCTGTGATGCTGAGGTCCGGTTCACAAGCGTGGGTTCTTGGAATTTTCCCCAAGATGTCGTGAGGACTTTCGGGCACGGAATCAAGTCCCTGCAAGATCCTGCAAGGCTATGGAGACACCAGGCTCCCTTGATCCACTGAGGCTCGTGCACCCCTGAAGAAGAAGGAGGCATGCCTGCAGGCAGCAGACTCTCGGACTTTCCGTCTTGAGAAGCAAGCGGGCGGACGATAATGCAAATACTATCCGAAAGTCACATGCAAGCACCGGACAGGAAGAGAAGACTCGTTCAACATTCACGGCTGTGATCCTGAAAACTGGTTCTGCATCCAAGAACGGCATTCCATGAGTTGCTCGTCTAAGACCTTGAGGACAGCCCTCCTGCACCTCCAGCTGCCAGGGATAGGTGGCACAGTGGCAGGCGACGTAGCCGAGGCGCCTGCCAGGCGGGATCAGGACATCGGCTCAGCGATGTGGCGATGTGCGGAAGGCAACTCATGCCGGGCTGGCCAAGCCATGTCAATCCCGACAGCGCCTGAGCTGGCAAAGTGGCACAACCGTCACAGGAGGTACACCAGCTGACCTAGCTTTCTTCCTCACCTGACCATGTGACCACCACATACAGTAGCCATCGGACGCGACACTTTCACAGCTGTCCCCTCCATCCAAATGTCTTGTTCGAAGTAATTGTTTCTGCGAGAGAGGCCCCGCCCTTGACGTGCAGACTTGACAGTCAGGTCACTGTAGCAGAAGCAGCACGCGCGGAACCACCAAGCCAAAGCAGGACCTGCTCAAAGCAGTAGCATGGTCTCGTACTGTGACCTTTTGTGATGACTTGACCGTGCAACTGAAACCCTTTGACTGCCTCGGTCCTTCTCGGCAGGACACCGTGCCTACAAGACGCGAAAAAAGCTCCAAGCAAACGTCTCTGGTGCTGATATAAATCGAAGGTTTGTGTAACAAACTACAAGGAAGGAGGTGGAGTCTAAGGAACTGCGCCGCGCACACCCAAGAAGCTGCTTAAATCACTGCAGATACGAACAACACCTCGAAGAACAAGCTTGATGTGTTAGTCTTTCTTCATCAGCGCCAACCCGCATCAACAGCCATCATCACCATCAACGTCGGCTGCAAGGGGCCTGCATGTCCAGGCGCCACGTGATGAAGGAGTAAGAATGACAATTGCGACACTCTCTGCATCAAGCTAATTTTCTCCAAAGAGCCTTGGAATGGTAGGGATATGGAGTGCCGGTGGGGCTTCCCTATGGGTTGTAAGATCTTCATTCAAGGGCCATGCAGATTTTGAATCTGCTCTGCATAGCACAGACTTTCAAGCTGGTTGCCACGGCCTCCGACGGCGCCTCTTCATCCGGCATGCACAGCCGTTCCTGACCAAGATGATGGAGGAATGAACAACGGGCTTTTCGTCGGACAGATCGAAAAGAAGAGAAACCCACACCATCCAACGATTAGCGCCGCGACGGCCTGGGGGTTGCTTGCTTCCTCGAGCTCCAAGCAGCGCATGGCTCGAATTCGCTCGTGGCCCGTCGTGGTTACCTAAGCGGCCTTCGAAGGGCCCACATAGAACTTTGGAAGATTGGCAGCTCTTCTTACGCTCTGATACGCTCGCTTTGGTTTAAGCTGGCTTGTTCTGGGACCCTGGGAGCCAAGAGATGCTCGGAGGGCCGCCAAAGCTGACGCCAAGCCAGGGTGGGTGCACTCTGCGCGGCGGTGCACTCTGTGCGTCTGGCAAAAGCTTCTTGAACCTTGGCGCAAGATCGCGGCGAGGGCTCTGCGCTAGGCCAGAACTTGGCACCAACTGCGTCGCAACAAACTCCGCAGTGTCGCCTTGCTCCAGAGCCAAACTAATCCAAATCGGCGAAGAGGCTCGCGGGGCTTGGTGCAGCCATCGTAGACCTCAGGCGTGATGTCCTCGAAAGGGCTCAAAAGCAAAGAAACGAGGAGAGCCCTCCTCCGCAGTTTCGCTCTCCTGGAAAGTTCGGGTGAGGTTGGCCCGGAGGCCCTTGGGCGGCTCGTTGGTGATCTTGATGCCTAGGTGGTGTCGTGGCTTCGAGGGATCCCGACAAAAACAAGCAGGACGACAAGTGGTGGACGTGGATGACGTGGAAGACAAGTTGTCGAAAACCCCCCTTCTGCCCAATCGATTCGCCTGGACCCTTCACGCTCAAGGGCCCTGGCCGCCCTGCAGCACTGGAACTGGAAACGTTGGTGACGGCATCGAGGTCAACCACAGGCGATACCTGCCCCGATGAGTGTGGTGCATGTGGAGATCACGTGGGACAAACTGGTGTTGGGCGGACTAATCGAAAGTCTAGACGCTGAGGACTGCTGTAAGGAACAACACAGAAGAGACATGCAACTAAGAACCAGAAATCAGCCATAGGCGCACATGTCGTCAATGCTGTCAGGATCCTGCATTTCCTGCGCAGTAGCCACGGAGTTGACGTCATGATTCCAAGGCTGCAAGGCCTCTTGCTCCAATGCTGCAAAGTCAGCCGGACTCCCAAGTCTCTTTGTGTTCAACAGTGCAACATTCAGCAGCCCTGTGCCCCGTCGTTGCAGAAAAAACTTCAGATTCGAAACAGAGAGCATCGAGCGGCAGAGCTTAGGTGGAGGGGTGTCCGGGCCGTCACAGTCCTGAATGCGTTCCAGCGTTGGCATCCAGCTGGCTGCTAGATGGCAATTCTGGAGGCAAACCCAATCGCCTGAATCAGTGCACAGAAGCGACTAGGGATGGACAAAAAAGAGAAGGACGCGCGTAGCCGCGGCCGCGGCCGCGTCGCCTGTCTCTTGGCCATGCTTGATCAGGGCTTCAGCCTGAGCAGCGGAGCGCAAGGAGCGCAAGGAGGTGGCGGCTGAGAGGCAGAGCGCCTTCTGACCTTGACCTTGCCCCAGGGAGATGAAGTGAAGCCGCTCCTGCGCTCCGAGAGCCGGAAAAAAAACTCAGCGAATCCGTCAAAAAGCCAAAAAAGGGAGAAGGAGAAAGCGCTTACAGACGGGAGAAAGCGGAGAGAAGGGTCGGGTCGCTCTCCTCGTACTCGAAATCCTTGGCAAGCTTCACCAGGTAGTCTGTTGGGTCAGCGCCAGCAGACCTGTCTCCCTCTACGCTCTGCAGGGCGTGACAGCGGATTCACATGGAGAGGCAAGATGAGTCGTAGCTCCAGTTCGCATGTCAGGTGGTTGTCGGGTTTCTGTTGCGTTCCCAAACTATAGATAGGGTGCCTGCCATATCAAGAGTCGAATCATACATTATTCCTTAAAGGCACCATGAGCTTGACAGTTCCTGAATGATGTAGAGTCGTACCTGCCCACTGGAGTCAAGCACTAGGCACAGGCCGCGCAGGCTAAAGATGATTTTTTGCCTTTAGCACGGACAGGGCTAGCCTTAGGTTTTGCAGGTACCGCAATGCAGATCCGAGCACAGAAAAGCCAGAGAAGCAACAGAGGCGCAAGCAAAACAAAGATCAGGGGCATTGTCTTCTTGGAGTCCTTCGCAAGCAGTCTGGTTCATAGTGCATCAAGCCTTCAGCTCTGACTTCAGGATCGGACCTCTTTAACTGTGCCCTGCAAGCTGGCAAAACGCGCATCCTTGAAACAGCCAACGAGGTCGAAGTCGGGGGAGACTGTGTAGTGCTTTCCCAGCTCTGCTCCGACAAAGTTTCGCACTACCTGAGCGGCGATGTGTAACAGCTCAATGACCAAGAATCGACAGCTGCCTACCCTATGCGGCGTTGGCCTCTCAAGGGAGCCCCGAGTTGAAGTCGGCACTGCAAGTCCGAAGCACGCAGCAGTTCATCCTGGCAAGCCTCTTAGGAGCGGCGATGGTGTTCGATGTGCCAGGTGTGCGCCCTGCAGTGGTCTTTTCGGCAGCGCGGGAGGCCCAGCGGTGCCAACGCGCAACTCTTCGAACCCCCCTCTTCGAGCCACGGGTCCGCTTATTGTGCATTCCATCTCCTATAACACCTAGAAGCTCTAGCAGCTCTAGCACTTGTGCACAGACTCCACAATGGTCTGCTCTCCTAGACGTCTTGCTCAGGCAAACACCAGCTGAAGGAAGTTCTCCCGAAGCGACCTTGCACCAGAAAGGACGTCGCGTAGAAGTAACCCGATGTCAGGCAAGCATCTCGTCGGCAGACCTACTTGATTTCCGGCACAGCCTTTTAACCCTGTTCTGATTCGGCTTACGCCCGAGGTATTCCCCTCTTGAAGTGCCGCAGTGCCCTCAGCCAGAGTGAATGCACCGCCGGGAGCAGCGCTTGATGACCAGCAACCTGAGATCTGACAAAGTTCAAAGGCTTCCGCCCTCCCCGCTGCAAAGATCGCTAGCCGCTGCAAGAGAAGGCGTGTCTTTGCCAGCATCAGCCCTTGCCGAGACCCTGAATAACTTCCATCGTGTCGATTATGCAGACAGGCAGAACTGTGCTCGTCAAGACCTTTAGCACGAAGTGGCTGCTGGAAGGGCGTCAGCTTCTCTGCCCACATGCCTCACAGAATCTGCAGTGTCAACATGAGCGGCGGTCTAGGTGCAAATGTCTGTCGCCCGCAGAACTACCACAGACTTTTGTATCGTCGAGTCTTCCCACGAGCCACACAAGCTTCGGTTGGTAGAAGTGCCTGGCAGGTTCCGGCCAGCCATGTGATCGTCCGTGCCGAAGTTCTCCCACCTGACACTGCCGAGCCAGGACAGGATCTTTTGGGACTTCGAGAGAACATGCACCAGAAGCTGATCGGGGCAGATCTTGCCCAGCAACACACGCTTTTTGCAAAAGCGTACAAGTTGTGTGTGATTACTTTGGGGCATCTCTCTTTTCTGTGGGGCATATTGCTGGAGCTGATGCTACTACACGAGAGTCCGTCAAGTGCCTCGAACGGCGGCGAGACGCCCTCTGTGGGGGCCCTTTTGAGGGCCAAAGCCCAACATATCACCCAACCCAACATTTAGAATTGACCAAGGCATGTTGTGCGTGGAGACACCTCTATAACTGCTATAGTTCCCAAAAACTGTCAGAAGTCACAGTCGCCACCGTCTTTGCACAATCTGAGTCTTTCCTATGTCATGCCTCATGCCGGCGGCATCCGGATCTAGACATCTAGATGGGTCAAGATGCAGGTCTCTGAGTCTTGAGGCCGCCACGCCGGTGTGAACATGTCCTTTGCCAGGCCTTGAAAGACCTCAGATCACTAGCTCACTAGCTGCACTGGCTTTCAAAGCCCAACTTCGAAGGCTCACACGTCCCACGGCCCCACCCCTGCCTCGCTGCCAGCTTTCAGAGTCAACTGCTCCAATACCATCATCTTCCTTGGAGATGCAAAACCATCCTAGGATCGGGCTTCCATGCCATAAGAGGTACAAGAGCGGAGGCTGACGACACAGTTGCCGACGTGCCTTTGCGGCCCCATACTTATTTCCACCACTCTGTCTGCTGATGAGCTCCCTGTGAAGACATGCCCATGTTTTGCATGCCTGTCCCTCTAATTCGGGCGCATAAGCGCCAACAAGTCGCCGGTAGCTTTGCGCCGTCATCCACGCAGGCCTCAACAGGGGGTCGAAGTGCTTAGATGCCGCCATGAATCAGGCACTGACGGATTCTAAGTCGTCTCCCGCTCGAGGTTCCGGGATGTCTAAAGGAGAAGCAGCCTTCAAGCCCGTGGGCAAGCAGCGGAACCTGCAGTCTATCAACAAAAAAGATGCCGTTTCCCGAACGCATCTGCGTCAACAGCGTGATCCTTGTACAGCCCTTTGCCAAGCATCCTTAAAAGCGCGCCAATGCCACAACCCATGTTCTTTGATACTGGTAGCTGCAGCTGGCATTGATCTTTCCAGCATTGTAACACGCGAACCCTCTAGAAGCTGGAGGAGGTACTTTGCTTCCCCGAGAAACCCCGCTGGGCGAACGACGGTTCGACTGCTTGCGTCAGCGTGTCATCGATAATGCCTTTGCCGGCCTCTGCGGGTTCAAGGGACGCCGACGACGGAGACAACTGTCACGACGACGAGGAAGGGTGAGATCACCACAACGATGATGATGATGATGACGATGATGATGATGATGTCCATGACGGTGTGAATATGCTGATCAGCGGCCCTTCCCGCCCTTCCCCCTGCAAACTGACGGTGCTGAGAAACTGAAGAGTCATAGAGAGGACGAGGACAAGGACTAACCTGATGACTGTGGTGATAAATCTCGGAACCTCCGCCTGAAAATCCAGGAGAATCTAGGACCCTCAGCCCGCAAAGGGCAACCTCAGGTCGATGTTGAGAACGCAGGCCGTGTGGAAGCTTAGTACAGCCGGGGCGGCTTGACGCTCAGACTTCTTGTGCCCTGTGGACCTCGAGGCCGCGCAGAAAGAAGCTCCACTCCTCGAGATGCCAGCAGGTACTGTATGCTACCAGCTGGTAACAGTAACAACAAAAACCACAATCGCGAGTACTCCAGCTACAGATCAAGCCTCCTTGGCAGGTCCACATGCCAAGTGCCCATTTCTTCACACCATCTCCCAGGGTTTGGCATGGATTCTCTGCATTGGTTGAGGTTTTTGAGGTTTGTAGCTGTACCAAGACCCACATGCAGTGTGTCACACGCCCAAGCAGAAGACCCCTGTGTATGAGCACTTCATGTCCTGTGGGGTGATGCGCTGCTTGTGCATGAACTGCGCATGGACCTGCCGGCAGGTCAGCACAAGAGAGGCTTCAAACTCTGAAGCCGATCGCTGACCTCGTGGCGCAGGCATCGGTTGCAGATCATGAAGGAATACAGCAGCTTGTGGTCCTGCTAACATTCTTGTCTCTGGGATGCCATGATGCCGGGGTGCGCTGTAGGGAGGCAAGGCGAAAAGTAACATTGCGACCCGCTAAACTTATGACGTATAGACTTATAGGTACTCTCTCTAGCTTTAGTGCGTTCAAGCCGTGGACAGACTTGAACACACTCCGATGACGATGAAAACGGTGATCGAAATGGTGATGCTGCTGTTGATGATGATGACGATGCCGGCAGCACAGGTGGTTCCAGGACATTTTGTACCACCTCGTTTGTGACAACTGCCGGATTCACCGCCCTGTCAAACTCGAAAGTCGGATTTGGTCCCAACAGCACCTACAGAACTCTCACATACCGTCCCTGCCGCAATGTTCTGAGAATGAGAATTGCATGCGCACCCTAAAGGCAATGGAATCAGAAAGACAGAAACACCGGGAAGCCCAAGTGCGACCACATGGCATGAGCAGTATTGCTGCAAAGTATTGCAAATACCAACGCCACGAATTTCTCAAACAAATACGAGCGAATCGAAATCAACACTCCAAGAACACATGCAAGACTGTGCAAACATGGAGTTCTTCACGCATGAAACAACGAAACGAGGCCAAAGAGACGATTGCAAACGCGGGCGCCTAGAAGGCTGAACAAAAGAAACCAACTTGCTTGTCGAGGGTCAGTAAATCGCACTATACCGCGGCAGCAGGCGTGGGAGTAAGTGCCCAGCATTCTCATGCTGCGAGTGCTAACGACGCCGACACACTGAACAACAACGATGCACACTCGAGTCCTCGAACAAGCCCATGCAAATCTTTGTGTAGATGAACTCAGTGAAGTCCTCTCCGGCATGGCATCCAAGACGCGATGGAGAAGCGGCAAGAGAAGCCATGATATCAACTCCGGACAGGCTTCGAACAGAACGGCTTCCGATGCAACCCGCTCTTGGGAATGCTTTGGGCAATTATGGTCGGCCGCGTGGGGACTCGAACAGGATTACGAGGCCAAAGGTCCCGGGCTGGCCCGTGCAAGCAGCCACTTGCCTATGCATTGCTTGCAACATACACTCACCGCTATCCACGGCAAGTGGAAGCAAACGCCCGTCCTGGATGATGATGTGGATGCGCCTGGCCAATTGTGATTGGGGACTGGGATCAGAGACTGGAACCATGTACAGCGATAGCACCGCTTAAGAAGTCATGGGTTCAAGAAACGAGCCCTCGGTCATGAGAACTCGAGGGTATCCTGACCTCGGGTTGCCAATTCTTCTTTTTGCCCTTCTCGATTCATGTTTGTTTTTAGCTCCAAAGCACACGGAATAAAGAAACTGAGGGGCTAGAATTTGGTAGTTCGGGGATGCGCGTGAAAACCACCGGGAGGAGATGAACCTGCAACATCCCTCCGATCACCTCCCAAACCTTCCAAGGGCTTCAAGGCAAAGCCTTCTGACGGGTTTGTCTAAAACCATGGAATCAAAACATGCACAGCTCGAATTCATACTTTCAGCTGTTCCAGGAAGCCTTCTCAAGGCTTTATGGCCTTCCGAAAGCCTGCCAACGGCCCCTCAAGAGCAAACGGATTCTATAGGTACTATAGGCTGCATCGAAAACCACAGAAATGAAACAACAATGAGGGGCCCGATGTCTTCAATCTACGAGACTGAAGAGCTCAAATTCTTATTTCGGGCGTGTTCGCATGTGCCGATTTTGGAGCCCTATCCCTATCCAACTAAGCGATGCGTCAACAGGGTACCCACCCTCATTTCTGGGAACGGACTGTATTTTGAAGGCAAACCGTGCGCTTGCAAGTTAGGAAATCGAGAGTGCCCTCATCGAAAAGCAACTGATATCTTTAGTTGCGCTGCTACTCTAACCTTGACCTGTGATGGGGTGTGGCCCCAGGTCTCCGCAGCTGAGGCAAGAATGCATGGCCGGAGCACTCGTTGATGTCTTCTGCCGTGGGGCTGGCAGCCAGTCTTTGTTGAAAGAGGCTGGTGAAGAACTGCAAGCTGTACTGATACCTTCACCAGGTTCGGGGCCCCACCCCCTACATGCTCCACTGCTTCCCAGCTGTCACATGGAGAAGCCTTGTCTTCTGCTGAAACCCCGCACGGAGAGATGCATGCTACCCTGATCGAAGTCAGTCGGTGACCCTTTGTGGGCGACTTCGACGAGATTGGAGTAGATAAGTCCCTTCGGCAGGGCACATGGGGTCGATGTTGGCGAGGTCGGCCACCTTCAAAGGTTTAGCTTTCGACCGGCACTGCATGTGTGTAGTGCAAGGGCCCCGGCGACGAAGTAAATGATCGAAGCCCTCGTTGCACAGGGTCTCAGGACTTCCGTCACCTGGCGAACCACACGCTCTAAGCTCTCTCGGCCGGGCCGAAGCAAGAAGGGAGCTCTTCTGTCCGTCCATTGTTGTGACGGGCTAGAACCTGCAACTGGTCCATGCAACTTGCTTTCCCGGAAATCAGGTTTCTAGACCCCTTCTGTTGGATGCACATTGCAGCGAGGAGCTGATACTGTCAGGCCTGGAAAAGACTGCAACTGCTTGGAATCCTCCAGATCTACTCCGAAGCGGAGGTCTGATACCGGGCTGGGGGTGGACACCTGAACAGCCTGAACTCTCAAGAGCTTGGGGGGGGGATTGGTACAATGCCCAGAGATTCTGGAGGCGCAGGGGATGTGCAGCTTGGTGGCTTCCGGCGCTGGGCGGCGGGGGCTTCGGCGGGGCAATGGGCTTAAAGGACATGGTTTTGGGGCTAAGGTACAGTAGGGGGCTGATGTTGGTTGAGGTTGCTTCTAAGGATCTTCCTGTTGGATTCAGGGCTTTTTGTCAGCTCAGGTTGGGCGGGTTTGGGGCATTGAGCATGCTGAGTTTCAAACTCGCACAGCAACAACACCCGATACCCGAAACCATAAGCGAAGTTTATAAGGTTCGGCAAGGTCTCAGTTGCGCCGTTTGCATTGCGGGTGGCTTCAGAGGTTTCGCCTCCTTTGGAAGTGGATCAGGATCCAGGGTTTGAATACCTGATTATGAGAATGCTGTGGGAACAATTCCTTACTCGACATGCCTATAGTTTCCTGTGGCTCATCTACATGGAACACACAGGCCCCATTTTGGCACACCGCTTGCCCACTGCACTTCGACTTCGCGCAAGCCCTTGTCAGCTAAAGAATAAACACCATGCATCTCCATGCTACCTCGCAGCATGTCAAGGAGGAATGAGGTTTCGGAAGCAAACTGCATGCTATCAGGGTCATACCAGTAAGAATTGAGACCCTCATGTGTCCCGTTTGGACCCTTTGAGCAGACGCCCTTCAAGTTGCAGACTTTGCCATCCACCCGTGCGCCCTTCTTGTCAAACTCTTTGAGCTGTGCCAGATTCTTCTTGATAGATGTGATGTGGCAGCAATGCCTCAGCAAGAGACTAAGTAGATTGAGAAGCAAGGTGAGATGCAGTGTATTTCGGGACCTAAGCAATTTAAAGTAATGTCGACTTCATTTTTATACACCCCCTCAATTAGAAAACCCAACCCCCGGAACTCAATCATAAACCCCGCCTCAATTATAAAAGCCGACTCGCAAATCCGTTTTGTTCGATTGGAGTTTCCTCTTTCCGGTTTGCTTATTTTTGGGAGACCGTTCCAGTATTGCAAAAAAGGAGGAGCTGCAGTTACTACAATATTGGAGAGAGAGACTGCAACTACTACGACCCTTCCAGTATTGCAGAAAATACGATCCTACCAGTACTGCAGCGAGACTGAGAAACTGCAACTACTACGACCTTTCTAGTATTGCAGACAGAGAGAAGCTGCGACAAACACTGCAGAGCTTCGGCTGAAATAGGGCCTTCTGGAGATGCTTGCAACAGGCTGGAAAAAGAAAACAAACTTTAGAAGCCAAGCCTTTCAGTGGGAAAGCTTTGCTCTGCAATCCACGAGACTCCGAAACCGCAGATTCAGAGGATCTCAGAAACCATGGCTTCCTTAATAAAGTTCCTTGTCCCGGCTGAAAACATCGATCCATCCTGAAGGAGTGCTAACAAAAAGCCGTTCTCCTCAATTATAAACTGCTCCCGGGAGGGCCTTTTGGAGATGCCTGCAGAAGCCAGGAAAAACTTTTGCTTGCCAAGCTCTCATTGGGAAAACATTGCTCTGAAAGCCGCGAAACTCCGAAATCGCAGATTTAGAAGATCTCACAAGCCATGGCTTCCTTGATGAAATTCTTTAATCCGGCAGCAAAAAAACAATCCATTCTGAAGGAGTACTAACAAAAACCGGTTCTCCTCAATAAACTCCTCCCGGGGAGTGCCTTTTGGAGATGCCTGAAGAAGCCAGGAAAAGGAAAGCAAACTTTAAAAGCCAAACCTTTCGTTGGGCATGCTTTCGATTCAAAAGGACAGCAAGCTTTAGAAGCCAAGCAATTACCACGACCATTCCAGTAATTGCGACCTTTCCAGTATTGCAGAATGAAAAAATTTGCCGTGGTTGCCGGAAAAAACAGTTTCATTACAGCCCAAGATGTTCCGTGTACTGTTATAATTATTACTGTACTATTGTACTACTGTACGACGGTACTACTGTACCATTGTACTACTATTGTGTTATTGTATTACTGTACTACTGTACTGTTGTGCTAATGTACTACTGTACTGTTGTGCTACTGTACTACTGTACTATTGTACTACTGTACTATTGTAATACTGTACTAATGTACTATTGTACTATTGTACTATTGTACTATTGTACTATTGTATTACCGTACTACTGTACTACTCTACTTTTTGCACTACTGTACTACTGTACTCATGCACTACTGTACTATTGTACTACTGTACTATCGTAATACTGTACTAATGTACTAACGTACTGTTGTAATACCGTACTACTGTGCTACGATGCGGCAGCAAACCAATCCATCCAGACCGACCCCCCTCAATAGCCAAACCCCCCCTGAAATCAATCGACGGTGGGGGTTATTAAAGGGAAGTCAACATTAGTGTGGTTTGGCGGCCCTTTCAGTATCCACTCAAGAGGGGGCATGCGACATATTCACGTCTGGATGGAAGCCATCACCTTTTTCGAAGGACATCTCTCTCTCTCTCTCTTGCTTGCTTGCTGGCTTGCTTGCCGGGCGTTTAGGGACGCGTGCTCCCCAACCCCTCCGCAGCAGCGCTGCGCCTGAGTTCGCGTCCGGTCTTGTCGGTGTGACACACACACACACACTCTCTCTCTCCCTCTCTCTCCCTTTCTTTCGGGAGGGCTGTGGGCCAGAGGTTTCCCCCTTCTCTCTCGCTCTCCCGGGCATAGGGGCAGGTCAACGCACCCGGGCTTAAAGCCCACCTGATGTTTTATCGGGCGTAGGGAGTGAAAGCTCTCTCTGTCTCTCTTATTTCATTATGTTAGGGACAAGGGGGAAGTCCCCCGTGCCAACGCGCGTCAGCGCCCCCGACTGTTGCGGAGAGGCTTTTGGAAAATCAGCATAAAACATGAAAGCAACAACGCAAGATGAAAGACGTACATGCTTAACAAGAATGCAAACGAGAGAATAACTGGCGATCCTTGCCTTTGTGTAAAAAAGCGGAAAGTTAAGCATCAGGACATCAAAGGTGTACTGGCAATCAAAATAAGGAAGTCACAAAGGTACTGTACTATGCTATGCAGCCCCAGAGCGGGGGCGGGATAAGGTCTGTTTGGAAGGCTCCAGCGGCCCGTCTGAATGATCAAAAAGTTGGAGCAGGAGGGGTGTGCCCCCCGTAGGCCCGAATCGTTGACATCCGAGGATGGAGAGAATGAGCGGAAATGAACGAGTTTGGGCTAAACGTGCATGCCAGTACAACAGTAAATGTACATAAGACAGGCTCAGCAGGGCGGCACAGCTGGTTTCAGGCTTGGAAAACTAGTCTCTGTCTAGGGTTTCAACCGTTTTCGTGAAACAAAAAACTCAGAAGCCCGCTCACTGGGTTGTCCTCTCCCGTCGTTGGGTCCACCTGGTTTGGTCCTTGGTCCAAGCACCTTCGGCTCGCTGTTCTCGTCGGTGTTCCCTGTACGATGTCTTGGACGCTCGTCTGTAGGCCTGCCATTTTCCTTCGCCTGTACTGTCGGCATCGAGGTTGCAGGGAACGTTTCCCTGGTCGTCGGGGCCTTGGAGGATCTCGTGCAACCTCGCGCACTGCGGTCCGTGAACGTCGGTGGGGGTCCCAGTGGAGAAGACGACGGGGCCGGGGCTGATCCCCGAGTTCACTAGGCTCAGCATTGGTCAAGTCTTCGTCCATGATGTCCAGTGGTGCCCTTCTTCTCCTTCTTCTATCGCATTCTCCACGTCCCCGTCGTCATATGGTTATGGTTCCTCAGGCCCCCCCGCGTCATCGAAGATATCAACCGTGGGGTGGAGCCCCCGATTCCTTTCTGCTTCCTCATCAGTGTTCTCGTCCAGGTAGTCGATGGTTGGCGGAGGGGGGTCGTGCTGGTAAAAGAGGCGCTTGCTGGGCCACAGTGTCCTGGTAGTGGGGCTCATCGTGCATGCCGGGCTGGATCGTCTTGTTCTCAAAGGTGGTCCCGCACATCCGCAGAACTCGAGGTAGAGGTGGAGTAGACGCCGAAGCGGAGGCAGCCGCACATTAGAGAGTCGGGCGTTCAACAAGTTGAGCAGGGCGAGTAGGGGGTGGGATGTGTCCGGCCGCCCCAAAATTTCACGAAGAGGCTCCATGAGGGGATCGTCCGGACCGAGGTCATGGCAGATATTGGTTCTTTGGGTGTGTTCGCATCTATGGTGACTGGCTCAGCATTCTTTCTCCTTTTCTTTTTCTTTTTCCGTGGGGGTCGCGACTGGCAGATCTCCTTCTCGCTGTAGTGATGGTTCGAGAGGCGGCATCATCTTGAGCAAAAGCCAGCTCGTGCTCACGCATCAGTTGGCGGTACACAGCGTGGGTGGGGTTTGTCACCACAATTGTCTGCAGTTGTACGGTGTCTAGTATGTCCTTCTCCCCGCTGAGACATTTTTGACAGAATTCAGGGATGCTGCCACTTCTGCTGCTGCTGCTTCTTCTTCTTGTCCGCTCCTCTTCCTCCATGTCGGCTCCAAACGTAGGGCACACTTGGCTATGTTGTCCCGGCTGCCACCGTCACGACCGTGACGGTCAGGTAGTCGAGGCTTGAAGGCGAGGCGGTCGAGAATCGAGCCCCGGTCGCAGAGGATAAGTAGGCTCGCCGATGACGTAGGGACCGTTGTTGCCAAATTGCCGAAGGAAGCACGCTGAGTTGCCCTGCGGGATCGTTGCACAAATATCTCGCCTGCAGAAGCGGTGGCAAGGAATAGCGGTGATCAATTCCCCCTCAATGAACAGTAATGGCTAAGAAGAGAGGAAAAGGGCCTAAGGGCCTCAGAGCAGAGGAGAGAAGAAGGAAAGAGCGGGGGGGGCGGGGAGGCACTTACATCATTGAACCACTCGCGGCTTGAGCCAAAATGCTCTCTCTTTCCCTGTCTCTTGCTTGCTTGCTCTGGCTACCAGGTGGGGAGTACAGGGTGGTCCTATACCCTGCACCCCGCGCGCGTGCGCGCACCTGCGGTCCCCGGGTCTCTCTCTCTCTCTCTCTC